TTCTTTCCAATATTAAAGAATCGAAACAAACTGTTGCCGATAACAAAGTTTAATGAACACCACAATAGTGACAATAGTGTGCAATAAAAAAACAAAAAAAATATGTACATAAAAGAATGCTGCAGTCTCGTCAAAATTTGGGACGAACTTAATTACTTTCGAGAGATCAAAATCATGCTCCTGCATCTGCAATTCCCTTTTCCTTTCCATTAATTGCAACTGAAAATTTCGCTCTCTTTCTCTGTCTTTTAACTTCTCTCTCTCCAACTCAATCTCCATTACCCGTAAACTCTTATCTTCAGGATCACACAACATCAATGCGTTATCCTCAAGATGATACTAAATGAGTAATAACCGTTTTCTTAATTTCACTCTTGCGCCACGCTGCTCGAATTGTTACGTCAAAATGTCGAGCTAACTGAACCCAGTCGGCTTTCTTTACGTCACAATCCTCAATAGCCTCTAATGAAGGACTTTCCACAAACTCGTCGAATTTAAATGCGCTCATGATTACTGCAAATCGAATTAATAAAACATCCAAATAAGAAAACCTTCACAATGGTTAAGTCTCAGTTACGTTTGATCAGGCCCCCATATGTTACATCTAGGTGTATGAATTGTTAATTATATACTAATGAAATTCCCTTTCTCTCATTATTCATACCACTCGTTATCATTTCTCTTTGTTCACGAGCATTATCCTTCGTAAAAATCAATTTCTTTCCAATAATAAGGAATCGAAACAAACTGTTGCCGATAACAAAGTTTAATGAATACCACAATAGTGACAATAGTGTGCAATAAAGAAAACAAAAAAATATGTACATAAAAGAATGCTGCAGTCTGCCGGAGCAGCCGTCTGGCAAATAATCTAATATTTTAGCATTTGTACATTTTATTATGTTTTTATTTCTTATCTGGATGGATGTTGGAACAAAACATATCTCTAGACATATTTTTTACAAGTATTTAACATAAATATGGCCCTAGAAGTGCCCTTTCCACAAGTACCCGCAGAGAGCTCCTTACCTCACCACCGCTCCGCAGTCACTACCCATACCCAAAACTGTCAATCACTTTGGAAAACGTATTTCCATGGTTAACTTTTCTGTATTTTAGCAAAGTAGAGTTCCGTATATATTAGGACTCTGTAACAACACTAGTATATATATATATATATACATACATATAGATATGGACATATTTTTCTTATGGAATGCATGAATTTCCTTCTTTTAAATATAATAAATGGGATCATAGTAGACGCTTAAACACTTTTTTCAAAAAGAACAAAGTCTTCCAAATCAGTTGCCATATTGAGGAGCGGTGGAGCCGCCATGACTGGTAGTAGCAGTTTTTGGTGATAGCATACATAAGTTTACCTGAACAAAAATTCCATGGAGAATTAAATAAAGGGCCCAAAGCATAAAAAGTTTATTATTCTCGAAGGAAAGAGACGTTAAAAATGTTATGTAAAGTATAGATCACTAAAAGAGTTTTTATAAAACTTGAGACAATTACTCACCGATAGTATCAAGAAGTTTGTTCCCTTTTGATGAAAGATAATGGTATTTGTTTCCCATGAGATTTTTTCTCTGGGTTAAAATACTATTATGTGTTGCACAAGGTAATTGTATGGGTTCTCATTTGTATGTACTCTCAAAATACCTTAATAGATTAGTTATTATAGATTTTATAGCTGTAGCATATCACACAGCAGTATGGCTTCTTCTTTGTACTATTATGTGGTTCACAAGACTAGTTTCATGTGAGGCCTTATTGCAAATATTCCAGTAGTATGGTTACCTCATCGCATGTACTCTTATATGGTTCACGTGGTTATGGTTATGTAAGAAAACCTTTTAGGAAATAGAACAGCTGTATGGCCTTTCCTTTTTATGTATTCTGATATGCTTTACTAGAACGTAGAAGCCTCATCGCAAATATAACAACTGTATTTCTTTTCATTTGTATGTACTCTCGTATGGCTTACTAGATGATATCTATGTGAGAAAGCATTATTGCAGGTATCACAGTTGCATAGCTACCCCTGTGCATACGCTCTCGTGTGGCTCACTTAGATTTCTGGGAGAACGTTCTGTTGCAAGGATTACAGCTATATGGCTTCTCATTTGTATGTGCTCTTATGTGCCTTCCTAGACTGCTTTTCCGAGAGAAGGTCTTGCTGCAAATCTCACAGCTGAATGGCTTCTCATTTGTATGTATTCTCATGTGCCTTACTAGAGTACCTTTCTCAGAGAAGGTCTTGCTGCAAATCTCACAGCTGAACGGCTTCTCCTTTGTATGTACTCTTATATGTCTCACTAGATTACATTTCTTAGAGAAGGCCTCGCTACAAATCTCACAGCTGAATTGCTTCTCCTTTGTGTGAACTCTAATATTAATATTGATATTTTTCTTTTGTGAGAATTTCCTGTCATGTACTTCACATGCAAAACGTTTCAATGTAGCTTCCACTTTTGGTTGCGTATCCTGGTTA